AGCTTGTTTCAAACTTGTTACAACAAACTGTGAACAAGCAATGCGAACACAACTTGTCGACAGCTTGTGAACATACTTGTAACAGCTTGTTTGCAGACTTGTTACAAGCTGTGCGTTTTTATGTGTGTAGACAGGGAGGTCCAATATTATATTTTTTACAATGCCTACAAATCTACAATAATTACAGTTAATACAAATTTCAGAACAATATATAGTTGATATAGCATGCAATGGAGAAGTCAATCACCATTGGGGATGCCACAATTTACTAAATGAGCACATAGCTAATGAGAAAGAATAGACCTTACCGATTATTCTTTTACCCAATGGCCTCGTTTCCATGTTAACTTATTTTAGCATGTCAGGGGAAGATAAAGATTATATTCCCATGTTTTCCTGCACGAATTTGTTTCTTGCTGTTCTTAGGCTCAATAACAAAGTAATTTTTAACCCTACTAAGCACAAAACACGAGTACGTGTTTGACATGAAAACGAGGCAATTGGGTAAATAGAGAATAATACATGGGTGCGCGGAAATACAAGATTTATTTTGAGTGTTGAACATGATATCTCACGAGTGAGATATCATGTTCAACACGAGAAATAAATCTGGTATTTCCAAGCACCCATGCATTTTTCTGTTTATTATATAAAGGTCAGTCTTTGAAAAGCGATAATTTTTACAGAAAAGCGATAATTGAAAAGCGATAATTTTCACATGTGAGATTATCATGAATAATCTCACATGTGAGATTATCACTTTTATCGGTGCTCGAAATCTCTATAAAGCACTATACTTTATATACTAGTAATAAAAGAGAATAATCGGTAAGGTCTATTTGCTTCCAAAAATTTGAGGGGCTGTCAATTCATTGCGCTCTTGAATTTCAGTGTAAAATAGTATGATTTTCGTAGCGGATTTCGAGTTTTGAACGTTCGAAAATAAGAAAATGCGCTAAGTCTACGCTAAAAGTTACTATTCTGCCAACTTTGAGCTCCTTTAACTCAAACTTTTGAGCTCCATTAACTCAAGCTCAGAAGTGTTTTTTATACAGGGCTTCCACAATTTGGAATAGCCTTGATCACTTGATGACTCGAGCACTAAAATCTAGAATGACAGTCCAAAGTTTTAAACTTAATAAAAAGATTAAACTTAATATACGGATTTCTTAAATAAGTAGTCCTCTTCAAATGTAAATTTGAACCAATTGTTTTAAATTGGATTTTTTAGATATTATCATAGCATATTCGTAAATTCAAAACTCTGTAAATATAGCGATATCCAGTAGTTAGTATAATATTAAGAAGCACTGTAAATTAGAGCTGAAAAGCCTCTTGAGGAGTATCTAATAAATTATGTATGTATGTATGTATGTACTTTAACTTAAAATTTTGCATTTTTATTCATCATAGACATAGTACTTTCTTAAATTCTCAAATTATGGACCATAAAGCCAAAATCAGAAATAAATAAATGCATATACTCTAAGAAAATGTCAGTTGACAGCTTGTGACAAAAAATGACATCAAACAAATTTTGGTGTACCTTTTCAGGTTTTGGCTTTACCCCCAAGAACGCCTGGTCGCAGGTTAGGTGTTGGCCGGCCGCGTGTCAGTGATTTGTATACATATCTGGAGTATGGGCACAGAATATAGACTATATACAGAAGTCCGATCTTCAGTCTAATAGATGTATAAAAATTCCACTCGAAATAATTTATACACCAATACATATTCATACTTTATTTATACATGAACTTCTGGTTAGAGCTCGACAACTGTCTCTCTGTAGCTCAGTTGGTTAGAGCTCGACAACTGTCTCTCTGTAGCTCAGTTGGTTAGAGCGCTGCACCAGAATCGCTGGGCCACAGGTTCGACTGGCCTATAGCTCGCGGTTAGGTCTAAAAATTATATAAAATCCTTTATCGAGAAAAGCCCTTCTAATGCAAATACAGCCTTCCGCAAAGTACTTAGCTTGGCTATAGACCGCCTTGTTTCGACATTGAGATATTGGCTTTTGAGTCCTTTATCTGAATTGTTACAGGTGACATATTTGCCAAATCACATACAGCTATGTTAGATAATATTGAAGACCTTTATTTTATTAAATATAAAGATAATATCTCAATTCCTGCGATTCTAACCAACTACAGAGTCCAGCTCAAACACCACAAGTTATTGTATATGTATATTTATAATGTAGCATTTGTAAATTCTGAACGCTGATTGGCTAAGAGCCGTGTTGACATAAGTCAAAGTCAACACGGAAAATTTCTTTCTTTATATTTCTTTGTGCTATACTATAAAAAAATAAAACATTTTCCGCATTGATATAAATACTTATATCAACACTCGTGGGAATTGGGAAAACTGGAAATTATGACTTATAATTATACTCCGCCCTCTGGAGGTCGTGTTTCCACATAATTTCTTGTTTTCCCAATTTCCACTCGTGTTGATATAACTGTATATCAACACGGAAAATGTTTTATGTACTATTTAAAACACGAGCAGAAGCTAGTGCTCTCGCGCAGCTCGAGTGTTTTATATCTGATAAAGCACGGACCGCGAGCTTTTGAAGCCTTTGGGAACGAACGAGAACAGCGCGAGCTGAATTCAAACATTCCAACTTTCTGATGAAGGCTCGAAGTACCGAGTCGAAAGCTCAAAACATTTAAATTACATATATATATATATATATATATATATATATATATATATATATATATATATATATATATATATATATATATATATATATATATATATATAGCTAATTCAAAAAAGGTTGTCCTTTGCAAACCTTAAACTCTAAACCTTAAACCTTAAACTCTAAGCGCGCAAAGCATAATGGGAGTACTGATTTCAAGCTTTGTAGTTGAATATTGCAGCTGTTTGTGAGTGAAATGTTTTCGCAGGCACATATTTACCATGTCTCTAAGAAATGGGCTCCATATATATGCTTTCTAAACTGCTTAAATAGTGCTCCCATTACGCTTTGCGCGCTTAGAGTTTAAGGTTGAGGTTTTAGAGTTTAAGGTTTGCAAAGGACAACCTTTATTGAATTAGCTGTATATATATATATATATATATATATATATATATATATATATATGTATATATATATATATATATATATATATATATATATATATATATATAAAAGACAAGCTTGAGTTACTTCGTTTAAAACATTTATTCACAACAAATTTGTTTCGTATGGCAAGCTAGGCTTGCCACACTCATCAGGTGAATGGTGATATCGCGTATTTACATGATGTTATAACATATAGGTAACTTGAGTTGTTATATACAAATGTTTGACGTCATTAGGAAAGCGTAAATATATGTTTGTAATCTGACTACTGGCTACAGAGCAGGAATTTTTTCCTGTGCCTACATGCCGATACTAGTTCGTTTCTTGAGTTCAATGAGCTTAGTTCGGGATAGTAAATTATAACGAACTTTTCGTGCAGGCATAATTTACAACGTTTTGTTTTGTTTGAGTAGGCCTTACATTTCTTTAAAATTTTCCAACGAATAGAGTATTCTATGTTGGACTGTTTCAACTGCCAAATATATTTACTCAGTTCAGTTGAATGCTTATGATCCGGGTTCCTGAACGAGCTTGTATGGTTGTAGTATCTCACTTTAAATGGGCCCGCTGGGTGTCCAACGTAGGTTTCTTTCTGTTGGTTGTCTTTTCTCGTTACTGTGGCTTGGTATACAACGCTTTCGGTTAAACATTTGCCAGGGAGGGGGCAGGATTCTTCCTGACGGCAATTACACTTCCTATCGGGATTTTTAGTAGCCTCGGGCTGCTTGCGATCGAGTACAGTTCTGTTGTGCGCCTTGAATATATATGTGAAGTAAATAAATTTGGCAGTTGAAACAGTCCAACATAGAATACTCTATTCGTTGGAAAATTTTAAAGAAATGTAAGGCCTACTCAAACAAAACAAAACGTTGTAAATTATGCCTGCACGAAAAGTTCGTTATAATTTACTATCCCGAACTAAGCTCATTGAACTCAAGAACCGAACTAATATCGGCATGTAGGCACAGGAAAAAATTCCTGCTCTGTAGCCAGTAGTCAGATTACAAACATATATTTACGCTTTCCTAATGACGTCAAACATTTGTATATAACAACTCAAGTTACCTATAGGTTATAACATCATGTAAATACGCGATATCACTATTCATCTGATGAGTGTGGCAAGCCTAGCTTGCCATACGAAACAAATTTGTTGTGAATAAATGTTTTAAACGAAGTAACTCAAGCTTGTATATATATATATATATATATATATATATATATATATATATATATATATATATATATATATATATATATATATATATATATATATATATATATATATATATATATATATTATAGTTTTCATGAAATAAATTGAATAAGACAAAAAGATAACTAATTAGATACGATTCTATACGACGATTCCGATTTGATGATGGCATGGGATTATCTTTTAAATCAATATCATTTATAAAGCTTTGTATCTGAGATCGAAGTGGGTTACTGAATATTAAATACTGCTTGGATTTTAAGCGCCTAGATTGAATGTGAATATTGGCAACTCCTCTATTAGAAAAAAACTAATGATGGTAGAAATATTTAACAGTTATATTCTGCTACTCGAGTCGTATATGAGCTGACAAAATGCGTTTTATTGAAAACAGTTTTACTTTACGTCGACACACAGTGTATCTAGACAATTGTGCCGTCAACACGAAACTCTCAATTAATTAACTGAAGGATCCCTAATTTAACACCTGACTGACCGGATTCTGTACTGCCAGGGTCGTCGCTATGAGGGGTGGGGGGGTGAATTGTAACACCCCCTGAAGCATCTTGTCGGCAAAATAACGGAGTTTGTCAGCAAATGCGATACTACCCCCCCTAGCCATAGCCTCTTTGCTGCGGCCCTGTGTGCTGTGACCAGCGTGAATATTTGTGTTACCTTTCTGTTTAGAGGCATGTTCATCAAACCACTCTATTGGTTTAAGTGATGGAAGTTTTACTGAAAGAGGATTGATAGCCACAACATTCCTGGATGTGTACCATACCCCAAACTGGGCGCGGTTACATCAATCAAAAGCCTGGTCTCCAGCAATACTTAATGACCACTCCATCGAACAATATGTCCAGCTAACGTTTTTTGGTGGTCAGTTCTTAGTAAAAAACGTCGCAATGCAGGGAAGTCCTCTCTTTGACTGGTGGGTTACAAAGTTTCGAATTTCGACCAGCAATGATGGGGAACATTTCGTTACAAATACCGAGGTAATTACATATGTCTTAAAATAGGGTTGTGATTTTTGTAGAATGGAATGTTGAAGGTGTTTTTTGGATGCAAATTTCGAGGCGGGAAACCATACACATACATAACGACAAACGGCAAACAAAAATGTTACGTTATAAGACAACAAAGAAGAAAAGGAACTTGTTATTACCTGTTCTAGGAAGGAGGTTACGTTTTTATCCACGTCTGTCTGTCTGTCTGTCTGTCTGTCTGTCTGTCTGTCTGTCTGTCTGTCTGTCTGTCTGTCTGTCTGTCTGTCTGTCTGTCTGTCTGTCTGTCTGTCTGTCTGTCTGTCTGCCTGCCTGCCTGCCTGCCTGCCTGCCTGCCTGCCTGCCTGCCTGCCTGTCTGTCTGTCTGTCTGTCTGTCTGTCTGTCTGTCTGTCTGTCTGTCTGTCTGTCTGTCTGTCTGTCTGTCTGTCTGTCTGTCTGTCTGTCTGTCTGTCTGCATGATGACTTCAAAATATATATCAAACATATTAATACGAAAATTTGTAGGACAAATGGACATTACCCAAGGGCAGAATTATTAAACGGCTTTGGTTAAATTTGGATGCAAATATTAGATGATAAATTATGAAATGATTGTCTTGCTTTACCATGCAAAATAGACTGAGAGTGCGCCATTATGCTATTTATGAATGATACGTAATTTCATTCGCTGGCTGAGGTATGCACGCGGACTCCGAGTGGATTAAGCCTGTTTTCCACTTCAACCATATCGTATCGTAACGTACCGTATAATTTTCTTTTGTGTCGAAGTCATTAGTTCAACACTACCGCTCAGGAAACAAAGAAATACGCTACGTTTCGGTACGATACGGTTGAACTGTTGAAGTGGAAAACAGGCTTAAAGATTTTTGGGATTAACAGGATTTTTGGCATCATGAACTTCCCGTTAGAGCTCGTCAACTGGCTTCTGTGTACATCTACTAAACCCTCCTACATGTACAGTCTCCGAGTACTGTCTAGTTCAAATTGTTTTGCTTTGGTTGGCTAATTAAGTTGTCAGTGTTCATGTTTATTCCATTTCTTTAGGAGTATGACGGAAATTACGATGGATCTTCCGTTGTCATGGTGACATTACAAAATTCCACACCATCAATTTATTTTCGCGTTATTCCAACTAGATGGAATAATAATGTCGCGTTGAGATTGGAACTATATGGATGCTTTGAATATATCGCTTGAACCGTGTCTGATAATTAACAGCGCGTTACTGCGATTTCTATAGTAGACACCTTAAGATTGACGTATTTTTTGCAAACGTCTAACCGCTAACCGCTAGAAACCACGTGACCAGGAGCTTGGCGTCACGTTTGCCGTAAATCGCTCACGTTTTAAACCTCAAGAGTGCATTCCACAGGTAAGTGATTTACCTCAGCATTTTATTCAACTGTTATTACTTCATTGCACGTATATAACATATATTAAGACAAATATACAACTTATCTTTGATTTGGATGGATAAAAGTTGTTTTTTAACGGGAAATGTTTCATATTCTGAGTGCTTTTAACCGAACCATGTATAAATTCGATATATAGACAACATGGCGCCCAATCGACTCTTTAATTTATTTGGGTTAAACAAACATGAAAATTTCGATTGTCAGTTAAATATTTTGTGGCCGATTTTGGTATGATAGATTTCTTAAATTGAGATTTGTTTATTTTAAGTCGTGTTTTGAATCGTTTTAATTAATATTAAACGTTTACATTTGAACATTCACGATAAAGCAAGTTCAAAATTATTGATGACCTTTTCACAGTCCATGTTTAAATATACTTGCATATTTCTTACTTACATTTATACTTTCAGATTTCAATTCATGTTAACAAATTCGTAGTGTCTAGTGACATTTGTTTTTTTTGACAGGATGGCACAATTCAAATGGATCCTATAGTTTCGACGGAAAAAAATTAAACGCGAAGAAAAACGTCAATCTTAATTTCATATTTGCAAGTACGGCAAACGTGAAACCGCTAACAGCAAACCGCGGTTTGCGGTTAGGCGTAAATAAAATAAACGTCAATCTTAAGGTGTCTAGTAACTGCAGACAACAATTGCCTTATATGGACGGGCTAGATTTCAGGCCCCTAGATTTTGTGAAAAACAATGCAAGGCAACATTATAATAATTATGTGTAAACGTGTGAAAAGCTACATGTATGAAAAGCTACATGTAGCTACAGTCCCGAAAAATGCATGCAATCCTGGAATTGGTACAATGTAATAATATTATATCGCTTAAAGGAGCGTTCATTAAAGATGCGGTAAAGTCCGTTCTGCGCATATATTCTGCGCATCAAAACATTCCATCAGTGGGGGAGCAACCTTTGGAATGTTGTTAATATTTCGCACCTTCCGAACTTTCTTGAATTGAATCTCTAGTCTGTATTCATTTACAAGCATAACGAACCAGAAAAGTGTTAAAAATTCAGTATAATATATATCTAATCATATTTTACAACTGTAGCACTGAGTTCAAAATGTAAACAAAGCGTTTGTTTACATTACGGACTTTACATCACCTTTAATTGTGTCGGCGAGAGAGGGGAGTAAAACACTGGCATTAGGTTGGGAAGATTTCTAACACACAGATGATGGGGAGGTTTCAAGAAATTTAGAAATTGCAGTACTAACTCACTAAACTAACCGCATTAACTGCTGCCCCGTCCAAAATATTTTGTTAATAAATTAACTTTTATGTTAATTCTCAGAATCATTTAAGTTTGGATTTTAGAGAAAAAATGTTAAGGTCCCTTTTTATTTCTAAATAATTATATAAGGTTAATATTTTAATAATTAATTATAAATTTCTAATAAATTTGTGTTCTTGGATTGAGGCAGAATTTTAAAACAGGTGCTTTCAAACTTAGGTTTCATCTGGTATATACTGAACTGACATGAAATGGCTATAAATGGTGCTCTATGAAGAACGGCTTAGGACACACAGAGCTATCAAGTTATGTAAATTTAGAGGTCGATTACATGGAGCATTTTCAACCCCGTGGTTGAACTCAGCCCTGTTGACCGGGTTGAAATTTCAGCCCATCTGTAATACAAAACTCTATCAAAATCAAACGTGCCATCAGATGACAAAATGTTCAACCTAGGTTAGAGTTCAACCCCGGTGTTGAAATTTCAAACCCGCTTCAGCTAGTTATTCATGAGCAAAAATGGAGACTTTTTTCGGCTTCTGGGAATCAATGCCGAGAACGTATAGCATTTCAACCCCGGGGGTGAAATCCCCCGGGGTTGAAATGTAATCGCAAAAAAATTTGAACCCGATTAACCGAGGGCTGAGTTCAACCGGGGTTTAATTAGTGCTCCATGTAATCGGCCCCTTTTAAGGCCATGCATGACGTTCTAGCTAGTTGATATGCTTTACTTCTTGGGAAAATGAAACGTGCTTACAAACTTTCATTTGTACGGGTCTCTTTGCTCTGAAACTATACAAACTGAACGCTATGGCGAAACAAGTGTTTAAGTAAACTGCCACAAACTTTCCACATGTTCTTCCAAATTCGTGTGTCGACGCCATGAAACGTAGTTTCAAAACTGTGCCCTAAATGTCCCAGATGTATAGATGGCTTCCCATAAAAAATGCATGCATTAAGTGGCTATTTGAACTGAATAATAGATGTTATGATGTCATGCAATAATACTAACTGTTGTGTTTATGCATGCACGTATTCAAAAACAGTCGATAACAATGGAGTTCGGTTATCTTATGAACCTAATATTTATTGTTGCTGTCAACGTACTGTTCTTTTTTTCAGGAATATGTTTAAATTCCGTGGTTATACTTAGTTTCTGGAGATCTGCGCAACTTCGAAAGAAATCATGTTATTTCATGATAATGGTTTTGTCCTGTAGCGATTTGCTTGCGGTTTCGACTAATAATCTATTGACGATTCTTATCGCGATTTTGTGGTTGACTGAACAGTTGGATGTATACCCTACCTGGGTGAGTATGTCCTTGAAGTTAACAACTATTCCCGGTGGTTTTTCTATACTCGCCCTTTTGGTCATGAATTTTGATCGATATTTGGCGACATATTATCCTATCTTTCATCGAACATCGATAACGAAGAGAAAACTTTTAACTCTTCTTGCGATACCATGTGTCGTCGAAGTAATACTGGCGCTGATGTGTCTAAAGGACTTTGTTATCTCCTTTCATGTTGGTCTTCTTATCTTTTTTCTCATTGTCTTCCCTCCAATGTTGTTCATCAACTACAAATTGTTCATAATCGCCAGAAGAAATCGTAGAAACAACGGGATATCACCCGAGATGAAAAGAACGTTTTCTTTGAAAAATATATCGAGTTGCTTGCTAGCAGTCGCTTGTTTTGTGGTGCTATCCATTCCATCGTTTGCCTATGTTGCGCTAAAGATAACCTCGAAAGATGATGGCTCATTAGATAATGGACACATTGCAGCGCTCTGGGCTGGTACTATAGCCTCGATAAATGGTACATGTAACTGCCTAATCTTTTACTGGAAAAACAAGATTTTACGTGCCGAAGGAACGAAAGTCGCTAAAAGCCTGGTATACCATTATACTGAACAATAAAAAAAACAGGAAAAATTCAGCAACGAAAAATATATTTGGCTTGAAGAGAGGGGAAAAAATGTAAAACTGATGAAACCAGGCAACTTAAAACAGATGGCTATAAAGTAGCCATGCAGCAGCTGCTGGACTTCTAATATACTGAACTATATAAATCTTTGAATAGGGGCTATATATCTAAATGTCAAAATACTCTTTGACTTGATGCGCTAACTTAAAGTCTGTAGTCAGATAAATGTGCTTGCATGTCGCTTGTTTTATAATTGAATTACTGAAACAGATGTTAATTTAACTATGTTTATATAATGAGAAATAGATACGTACTTTGTATGACTTTAAGTATGACCTCTTTATATTCACTACGGTGTGATATATTTAAGGATTAACGATTAAGGTGTTCACTTCTCATTTTGGCTTTTCAGTGACCTTTCATGACGAATTGTGCTCATCCGTGACTGCATGTGTTACGTTGTTAGACCAGACTGTATTTGAAATCATTATTAGTTACATTTTGCATTTTTGCCTGTACATAAATTAGTTATTTGACAAATTAAATTTGTGATGCTATATTCTAAAATTTAATCAGTGCATGCATGCATGCATGCATGCATGCATGCAATGCAATATCCAACATGGCGCAAAAACACACGTGGTGTTACTCATATACAGGAGTTCTAGCTTCAAATAATCTACATTGTCAAACGTGTTGCACTGATTTGAACAAACGTAATAAACATATGAATATCGAGCTATGTCTACTGTTCATACAAACACGTGATTAAACACATGTACAGAAGCAATTTACGTAAGGGAGCGGTCATTAAGTATATGTCAGGGGGGGTGGAGGTTATTTGGGAGGGGTATGAAACAAAAATTCTGGGCTTTGGGGTTAATACATTTTGTAGGAAAAAGGAGGGCACTAAACCAAATACATCACATAGAAGTTTAATGGTTTAAGTAATTATTTAATAATGCATGTATACTGTCAGCAATAATTTCAATCGATTCAGCCACTTTCATCGCTGTCAGAATGTAATGTCTCACTCTGCGAAGTACTAGCTGTCACTTTATTATAAACATTGACACAACATTGGAAGAGTGTTCTCTGAGTTTTGGATGAGGCAAGGTTTTCTTTTCTCATGACATTGATCTCTCTAGATTTTGTAAGTTTTGATTCCATTTGTTTGGCCAAGCTGTTAACAAAGTTCAGGGCATCTGTTGCAAAGTAATCTTCTTTAATCCGGTAAGACATTGCTTCGTAATGAAATCTGGCAACCAACTGGCAGTTTTGGTTAATATCTTCAAGACAACACTTTGAAGTCGGGGAGAAGTATATGGAGTATGTGAGATACTGTTGTAATTCCTCATCCTGTTTACAATGTAATGAGTCAGGTTGGATTGGGTCAGCTTGTCATAAGATACCAAAGCCAATGCCAGATTATAGTGCTGATGGAATGCATTACATGAGTGTACTCAACACTCCATCTGAGATGGTGCACCTCGAACTGAAGGCTAATTTATCTGATGAGTGCCACATCTTGTGGTACGAAACTAATAGTAATAAAGATGCCCAGTGGGATTTGTTGAGTCGTTGCACATATATATATATATACAGTCGAACCCCTATAAGCGGACACCTCTCTTAAGCGGACACCTCTTTTAAGCGGACACATATCTCAGGTCCCATTTGGTTTCTTTAATAAAAAGCTATTATCATAACCCCTATTAAGCGGACACCCCTCTTTAACGGACGTGGACACCTTTTTGGAGGTCCCAATGGGCAAATCAACCTCTCTTAAGCGGACAGATGACAGATTGTCTGATAAAATGTATTCAATATTCGACAGTAAATAACAATTGAGATCAATTTACATGGCACATTGACAGTGACACACCAACTTGGCGCGAAGACATCAGAGCCAAAATTATTGAGGAAGTGACGAATGAGGACGGAGGACTGTGAGCCGCCAGCCATGATGATACTCAAATTACACACCTAATTACACACCTTTGCCTCCTGCTGTGTTTTTCTACATACCCCTTTTAAGCGGACACCCCTTTTAGGCGGACACTTAGGCGAGGTCCCGAAGGTGTCCGCTTAATAGGGGTTCGACTGTATATATATATATATATATATATATATATGTCTAAAAATATATATATATGTCTAAAAACAGGTGTGTTCAATTACACACCAAGGTGTGTTTAATTACACACCGTTTTTCTACATACCCCTTTTAAGCGGACACCCCTTTTAGGCGGACACTTAGGCGAGGTCCCGAAGGTGTCCGCTTAATAGGGGTTCGACTGTATATATATATATATATATATATATATATGTCTAAAAACAGGTGTGTTCAATTACACACCAAGGTGTGTTTAATTACACACCAAGGTGTGTTTAATTACACACCAAGGTGTGTTTAATTACACACCAAGGTGTGTACATTTTACACACCTTCCTATACAATTTTAGAAACCAAGGTGTGTTTAATTACACACCAAGGTGTGTACATTTTACACACCTTCCTATACAATTTTAGAAAACACACCTTTGTGTGTTAGAAAACACACCATGATGTGTTAGAAAACACACCATGGTGTGTAACAAAACACACCTAGGTGTGCTAAGAAACACACCTGTATTTTACACACCTTTTCGTACACACCTTTGATGCATATAAGGTGTGTTTAATAACACACCTTTTTAATCAAAACACACCTTGGTGTGTTCGAGAACACACCTCATACTAATTTGCAAAAACACATCTTGGTGTGTTAGATAACACACCCTAAACCGATTTTGGAAAACACGCGTGCACGGTGTGTACTGAAAAATGCTTTTTAGTAACATACAATAAATCCAATCATCAATCACGGTAATGTATGCTATAATATGTTTTTCGTATATATACAGTAGATTTGAATGGCGATATTGACTTTAATTTGCGGCGATGTCGGTTTTACGTGTCTAATAAACGTTTGATATTTGTTGTGTAGTATTTTATTCCTTCGCATGTAGTAAGAGCATTACTGGGACTATTTACTTTCTAAGAGATTAATCTGTCTTTAGCACACCATTAATATCTGAAATATAGGTAACTGGCCTTTTGAAGCTCTTCGGAACGAAAGAAACGAAAATTCTCACGATGAGCGCGATTTTACAGACTGGTGCCTAGTTTCCGTACTACGCGCGCAACGCTTCCCGGGATAGCGTCATTTATTCACACCGCCATATTTAATTTCAAGCCTTCATTCTGAATTTATGGGTTCGAAAAATTCGCTTTTTTTAAGCGACGACGAATGATTTGAACGAAGAGGAAAGTGCGGGGGTGACTGAATAATATTCAGGTAAGGATATTGTTATGTTATATGTATAATGGAGCAGTTTTGAAAGGAAATATTTGCTATCTACATTCATGAATTTTGAGCATATGTTCATCAGTTCATGTTTAAAATTTGAATTTGCCGCGACAATATTTGAATTAAAAAGATGATATAAATACATTTATAGAAAGGCTTACATTTGACTTTATATTAAATTATGTTTACTATATAAAGGGCAACTAATATTTGTGTTTGTATATGAATATATGACAGATTGCCAGATAACAATGTTTCTGGTATAAAGTATAAACATAGCTTGGCATCTACTCGATCATCATATGCTTACCTACACATGTCCCAGCTAAACATGGTTTTAGAAAATGTAACCACTTGTTTCAAATCAACTGCTACTTTCATAAGTTTCTTATTTTTATATATCTAGGTTTGTTATGTCCAAATTCTTCAATCAATGAAAAAATCTATTTCACTATGAAAGGTGTTATGCGCCAGTCAATGAAAACTTATACAACTCAGACTGTTGCTGATAAGTGGGGGTTAAGTGGCAGGGAGATTTTCCATGCTACCGTAAACCTCCAAATATAAGCCCCCCGTGTATAAGCCCACCTCATGTACTAACACTCACCTCATTCCGAATATATACCCCCCCCCCCCCCGAATATAAGCCCAGTAGCCCACTATGTTATTCAACATTGACATTGTCTTTTAATTAATTAAGCCATTAAGCTGCAGAGCTTCCCCATTGACAAGTAAAATTGTCCGGTGGGGCGCATTGCGGCTTGATGGGTTTACCAGAGACATTGTCAGATTTTTTGGTCAACCCATTAAGCTGTAGAGTTTCCCCATTGACGAGTAAAATCGTTTGGCATTAGACAAGTGAAAAAAAAGTAGAGCGCACTAGGGCGTGTTGTGCCTCATTGGGTTAATATACAGTAGCAGAGAACAATATTTAAGAACATTGTCTTTATAGCTTAAGTCAACATCATTAATTTAACTGATCAAAGTGCATTATTACTACATGTTTATTTTCCTGTTTA